TCTCTCTCTCTCTCTCTCTCTCTCTCTCTCTCTCTCTCTCTCTCTCTATCTATCTATCTATCTATCTATATATATATATATATATATATATATATATTTTTTTTTTTTTTTTTTTTTTTTTTTTTTACAACTGTAGCCTCTAGTTTTGACATCACCTGACATACCATAGGTAGAAGGACTGGGAGATATCTACAGATATTCTTTGAAGTCATTACAGCTAGAGATTTATTTTCTGAAAAGGGGAAAGGGAAGACAGAAGAAAATAAGGAGGGAAAGAGGTGAGTGAAGAAGGGATACAGTAGTTGAAGGACATAAGGATGGGGGAAGTTCAGAAAGGTGAGAGGAATTAATCCAGGAGAAAAAGAAAGCTGAAATGAAGAAAACAAAACTGACGAAATAGGAATGCACTAAATATTTCTATTATGAATTCTATTAAAACAAGCAAATGAAAACAACAATATCGAGCAAAACAAATGAGAAAAGAACAACCCAACCCATCAACATCCTGTAAACCTATTGGATCTATAGGAATCCCACTTTTCTCCCCATCAGAATGGAGAAGTTTGAGTCTGAGTTCTAGAAATGAAAAAAGATTGTTCTCTAATCAGTAATCTAACATCATTATATAAAGCACTTTGGGTTATTTACTCCAGGATGTAATTTCTGTGTATAAACCAATTTACCTGACCTGTTTCAATCAAGACATTCTGGCTGTCAAATGCATTTTCATTGTCTTTCTTTCAATTGAGCCGTTTCTCTGTCTACTACTTATCCCAGTGAAGACCCATTATCCACTAAGAAGATTACTTAAATCCATTTTGTTTGGCTGACTTGGAAAAAAAAAAAAAAAAGCTTACTTTGGAGTCATAATGATATGACTAATCAAAGTGCGCTGGTACAATGGAAAGTTCATTTTATTGTATTTTTTTTGCATGAGAAGTTTTATACTAAGCTTTTTATTTCTCCATAGATTATTTTCACTAAGCATTTTATACTGAATTTGACTTAAGGGCCAATAACTTTAGTAACATGTGATAGTTGTTCTCTATTTTTAACTTGTCCAACACTGCTCTAGTATGGAAACTGAAAGGTTCTACTCCAGACAGGCCATAGGTGAATGTCCTACTTATTTCAACTTGATGTACTGAATAGAGAAGTGGGGACAGAGTTTATGTTTTTTGCACTGTTTTGTGAGTGTCAGAACACTAGATGACTTGCAAGGCCAAGTTACCTAGTCTACTTACCTAGTGCAAGACTGGAAAATAGAAACTCACAGTTTCTAAGTTTTTTCTATGGCCTGACCTGCTTAAAATGCACCATGCTGACCACATCTCAAGGAAAAAGGAGCTGGAATTGTTGTCATTCAGTACTCATTCTGGAATATTTAAGTCTGAATTCAAATATTCCAGCGTCTACTTACGCCTTTAGTCTCTCTGGTGTCAAAAATTGCTGTGAGTGGAAATATCAAGATAATCTGTGTACTTCAGTGCAACTTTCTCTCATTGATCACTATGCTATTATTCTTGTGATGCTAAGCTTGGAGCTATTCAGCACTATCTCCTCTAACAGTTTTTTCAGAAGACCTAGTTTGAAACATTAAGAAATAATGTCTCCTTATGCAGACACTTTCCTGCCAGTGCTCTTCAGAATTAATTTATCTGAAAATTTGACTTATGTCAGTTGGTAGAAAATGATAGGTACATGAAAATATGCTGGATGAATTACTGTTAGACAAATAGTGTAATCTGTCATTGACCAACTACAGAAAAAGTTATTTTGTGTTTTCAGATTTGGAGGCATCTGTTCGAAGATTAATTGTGTGAGGAGCTTCTCAACAACTCAAATTATGCTTGAGACTTTAACATATCTTATTTTTTAGATGCATCAGACTTTCCAACTTTGAATTTCTTCTTATATGTAAGATGGTGAGGTTTATTGTTTGTTGTTACTTTCTTTTAACAAGCTTATTGAATATATTCTAGAAGTAAATTTTAGGGAGGATATTAAGTTGCTGAATCGTCATGGTAACAAGAATTAAGTGGTAGCTGAATGAAATAGGAAGGCAGGTTTGTATTATTCTTGCTATCAACATATATAAAGGCATTACATTTCAAACACTTTTTTTTTTTTTTTGTTCCCTTCATGGAATAATAGTGTGGTAGTTTATATTATATGACAGATTTACACTCTGAGGGTTATGGGGGAAATAAATTTCAGAAGGACAAGTGTTTTATTTTTATATGAGGAGAATAGTATTATTATACAACTAGATGCAGTAGATTTAACTCTGTCTGACAAGTGTTCAAATTTATGCGAAGGAGGCATTACTTTTCATGATCTCTAACTAGTGATAGAAACATCTGTAGGCTTCTTTTTCCAACACTGATATGTCAGCTTATCCCTCTGCTGTCTTGGTGTTTTTTGTTGTCCTCTCCATTAAGTAAAAGCCATCTAACATGTTTTTCTTTTCTTGATCTGGAAAAATAAAATCTGCTTTTAACAGCTGTTCAATACAGCCTGTGTTTGTGGATGTAGTGGCTGATAGCACACTACTGTGAAAATGTCTATGGTAAACTTAGCATGGCATACTTGCTAATTCATATAAGAACTTGTGTGTTCTGTTAAACTGTGGTGTTTCATGATGTACAAGTGTACATACAGGACTGTCCCAAAAACCTGTTAAACATGTGAAATTTAAGGGCTTGCTTTCTAAATAGATGAATAACCCCAAATGTTTTGGAGTGCTTCATTATATGTGCATGAATGTTTTCACTTTAAGCATTTGGGAAAATTTGGAAGATTAGAGCTTAAAAGGCAGAAACTTTGTTAGAATTCAGCTTAGTTAAAATATAGTGCTGGAATCAGCTGAAGCATCCTACTTTTGTGATGATTCATCCAAAACATTCATAAATCACAGGGAAAGTCTTGAATTGATTTGGAAATTAAATATTCAAATAAGCAAAACAGAAATCTACTTAATTATTCCTTAGAAGATAAAGACAGAACACATTTCCTCTCAACTATGAGCAAATAGCAAACTCATTAGAAGCTGTGAGCAAGGAAATTCAGTGTAGCTTATGTTTTTCAAAAAAATAAACACGAACATTCTTATTGAGACACTGGAACAGATTATGTAATGATGTGGTGCCCCATCTCTGGAGACTTCCAAGGAAGGGATGGATCAGGCCCTGGGCAACCTGACCTACCTGTAGTGTCTGTTCATTGTAGGGGAGTTGGACTACTTGGCCTTCAGAGGTCCCTTCCAACACTAAGAATTCTATGATCCTATGACTCTGCTGCCTTTTTGTGCTTACACCCCTGGAATGCTCTAGGAAGTGCATCCACTAGGCACATCTGTCACAGATCTTTACTATGATGGCCAGACAGCACTGAAGATGCTTCACACTGTGCTTTTTAACTTGTAAGTAAAGCACAGTTTACTCTTTAGACTGTCAGTCCTGGAAGTATTCCCATTTGAACATCGTTATTGCATCTTTATTCTAATGATAAAAGATTGGAGGAGTGATAGTGTTAAAATGTAGGAATTCTCTGATTTGTTTTAAGGGTCTGAGTAAAAAAATGCAGTGTATTTTCAGAAAGGTGCAACAATGCAGATAACATGAATTTCTGCTGCTGAGAGATTGTTTTCTATACGTAGCATTCATTCTCTTACAAGCAGTTCTAGATATCTATTGATGTACTGGAAAATCTAACTGATGCCAAAATGTAAGTCTTGTCATTTTGTGTTTACATGGAAATTCTTTTCTTCTGCCAAAGCTAAAATCTAGGAAACTAATAGTAAAGTACCTTCTACAATCTATGTATATTCCTTTTTGCATAGTTCCTGTGTGTCTG